CCCCCCCCTCGTGGCAAAGGCACCCCCCCCCCGCACCACAACCCCCCAAACCCTCTTTGCATCACCCCAAGCCCTTTTTGCATCACCCCAACCCCCCATTGCTCCTCCCTGAGCCCCAAAGCCCTTTGCATCACCACGAACCCCCTTTGCATCACCACGAACCCCAAACCTGCTTTGCATCACCCCGAACCCCCTTTGCATCACCGTGAACCCCCCCTTTGCATCACCCCAAACCCCTTTGCATCGCCCCAAACCCCTTTGCATCACCCCAAATCCCCCTTTGCATCACCCCAAACCCCTTTGCATCGCCCCAAACCCCTCTTTGCATCACCCCGAGCCCCCTTTGCATCACCCCAAACCGCCCTTTGCATCATCCAACCCATTTGCATCACCCCAAACCCCCAACCCTTTTTTTCCCCCTTTTTGGGTAGAACAATCGCTTCGAGCCACCGGGCGCGTCCTGGAAGGAAACCAGCTTTTTTAGCCCAAAAAAGACGGGGAGCAGCCGCGGAGGGCGTCCTCCCCCGCTCCCTCCGCCCCGAGCAGGCCGCTAACCCCAAAAACCCGCTCCCTCGGCCCGGCCGCAGGCTCAGGCCTCCCCTTCCCCGTGCCTCATCCCGGATGATTTTCGGGAAGCCAAAATTTAATCTACCTTTCCCAGCGAAATCCCGCGCCCGGGGCTTGCACCCCCGGCCTCCTTAGGGAATAAACTCAGCCCAAAGCAGCGCTCGGCTCCCAAAGTGCCGGTTTCGGTGCTAGTTTTGGTGCCGGATTCGGTGGCGGATTTGGTGCCCCTTCCCAGCCGGGAATGCCGGGATAAGGAGCACGAGCCAGCGGGTTCAGGACACCCCAACTCCAGCCGGAGCATCCCTGCTCCGGTGCGGCCGGCGATGCCATGACCAGATGGGGAAACTGAGGCACAGAGCAGCCGAGCCCAAGAAATTAAATCCCCGGGAAGGTTTAACCTCCCAGGTGCTTTTCCACAGGCATCTTTATGGCATCCGCGGCGTTTCCCCGCGCCTGGAGGTGCCGCGTCCCGCGGCGGCTTCACGCTCAGGGCAGCCGGGACCCCCAAAAATCAGAGCCAAGAGGGGGTGCGGGGGGGAAGGGGGGGCTCTGCCTGGGGAATAACGCCGTGCCGGGGATCCGCCGCGGCCGTGCCCGTCGCGCCCGATGCCGGCGTTAACCAGCAACTCTGAACTAAAACAAAGATAAAAAAGAAAAAAACAAAAAAACCACCCACGGAACCAAACCCAGAAAGCCCAAATCTGACCCCAAACCCGAGCGTGGGTCCTCGGGGGCAGGGAATTCCCCTGGAGTTCGGGGGTTTCCCCAGGGATTTCATGCCCGGCTCCGGCCGCAGGACGCGGGTGGAGGTTTGCTACGAGCGAGTCTTGCTGCACCCAGGGCCGCTGCAAAAAATCGCCCCCCCCGCCATGCAGCCGGCCTTTGGGGAGCAAGGGGAAGCCGGGGGGCCGGGCGCCAGCGGGTTTTGTCCCTGACCCTGCTCCCACCGAACCCACATTTATCTGTGCAAGCCGGCGTGCCGCGGCGTGGCCGTGCCGGGACGCCGCGGTGGCCCCTTCCCACCGCCCATGGCAATTGCCCGCCTTGCCTGAATTGTGATTTTTTTTTTTTTTAATGCGAGAAAAGGCAACAAGGGGGGTCTGAGCAGCTGAGCCCAGCCTGGGCCCTCGCTATAATTATTTATAAATACTAAATTTATAAATAAGGACCTTGAATATAAATAAGGAGCCCCCAGGTCCTTGTTCAAGCAGGGAGGATGCTGCACGGCAGAGATTCGGCGCCGAGGTTTCGGCACGGCAGCGAAGCCGATGCCCCAACGCATCATTTTGGGCTTAAAACCCCCAAAAAAATCAGGTTCAAAGCTGCTGCTTTTAGAGGGAAAAAAAAAAAATACAATTAACCCAAAACGTGATGATGGGGTGGCTGGAGGCAGAGGGCCGGCACACGGCGTATCGCTGGGAGCCTGAAATGCGATTTTAATCCCAGTCACGCTACGTATTCAGACTAATTAACTTCAGATTTACCAGACTCTCCTCCCAAAAAGCCGAATTCTTAATCTTTTAAAGAATATCTGTATTGTCGCCCTCTAATCCCCGGGTTTTAACAGCCGCGTCCCCGGGCTCCGTCTAACGGAGAGGAAAAGTGAATTGTCCCCGTCGCGGCGTAGACCCGGACCCGCGGACCGAGCCTAAGCTGAGCCCGGGAGAAATGTGAAGTTGAAAAGAGGAGTTTATATGACGATGTCATTAAGGGGAAGAAGGAACGGGTTCCCTCGGCGGAGCCTTTCCCATGGGAAAAGCCAAAAAAAAAGAGGCCGTGAGGGTTTATCCCGGGAAGGGAAAGCCGGGGCGAGGCGGGAGCCCCGGGATCGCCGCCGCTGAGCTTT